CCCGATCCTGATCTACCGTCCGGGTTCACGCAAAAAGATAGCGCCTACATGACGATTCCACCAGTGGTGGCTTGACACGTGGACAAGCCAGCAGGGGTGCTGCCACCAGCCTGTCTATCGGGAGCCGTCATCGCGATAAATTGCTGAACCAATGGCTGTGCGGTGAAAGGCCGGCCGAGGTCGCGACATCCTTGTGGAGACGTATGATGAGGAGGAGCATATTTTGAAGTGCGCTACCTATTTTCATTATTAGTACAGTAATAATTTATTGGGACAATTTGCAAAATACCCCCATAAGTTGAGATGGATGGCAAAATGCACCCCTAAAAGATGTGAATAAAACAGAATGCCCTGCTGACAAAAAAAAAAAAAAACGTTTGCGAAATACACCTGTGGTCGGTTGAACCAGCCACCTTTGCATTATACCCCTACCGGGTACCGTCAAATTTGCAAAATACCCCGATTGCAAGAGGCCAAGGCCCAAACGGCCAGGTCCAGATTGGAAATTTGTGCATTGGCCTGACAGGGGCATAACACAAAGAATTCGGTCCCAAAAGGGCATTCCACTCTACCCACATCTTTCAGGAGCATGTTGGCATACATCCCTGGCTGTTTATCCCTGCACTTGGGCACCGAACTTGTGACTGGATACACGCCTGGGTGCCCGGCCGGGCATAAACCCCAGGCAGAGTTTCAGGCAGCCCCAGCACCAAGACAAAAAAAAAAAAAAAAAAAAAATCCAGAAAAAAAAACATGTTGCATAGAACTGCAACACAACCCACTTTTGGCTGATTGTCAAGCCGTAGCTGACATTCAGTAAACAATCAATGAGTTTCAATAGCAAGACAGGAAGGAAGGGGAAGGGGGAGGTGAGGGGAGGGGAGGAAGAAACCAGTAGAAGACGACGCAAAAACCATGTCCCGAACACGACTGAATTTAAAAATATAACTTGAAGAACGACATGGCACTTGGCCCTACCGGTTTCACCTGCCCGCCAGTACCAGGATCATCAGGAGCCTCGGTATTGGTATTCCGTTGTGGGTTGTAGGTTGCTTTTTTTTTCTTTTTTTTTTTTTTTTGTGTGTGTGTGGGGGGGGGG